TACCTAGATTATGTTTGTAAAACGTAAAACTTAAAATTCACCAGGATATTGTGAAAATGCCATATGAAGTTGTGTAAAGCATTTCCCATGCAGGGCCTGTGATATTGACTCTTCCCCAAATTCTAAGACAAATACAGGAAAGAGACACCATCTTCACTGCATATTGGACGTTCTGGCTCTCTTCACTTCCAGCAGCCATTGTGTGCTCCATGAATACCCCTTTCTTCCTTGACACAATCCCATCAAGTCTGCTCTAACACAAAAGCCCACTGCTACTTAAAGCTTTCTAATGTCTATGTAACAACTTTGCAGATTATAAACATTACAAATGACAGAAGAGTAGCATATAAAGTTCACCATTTTACTATAAAATGTGTCTCTTACCCTTCCACAGAGTACCTTAGTGCAAAATAAGAAGAGGGGGACGTCATTCAAAAATAGAAAACATAATCATTAGAACCTTGTCTGAGGCATTTAAAGAACTTCCAATACAAAGTGGTGATACTTGTCTCCTTACAAAGTAGGTATGAATATAGATTCTTGGATAACATTCAAGGAACAGCCCTTTTATTCATTAGTGTGTGTGTGTGTGCATGTGCGTGTGTGTGTGTGTGTGTGTTGTACATTCTTCCCTTTTAAGTGGATCAACTATTTATAATCTGTGAACCAAGAGCTGAAAAAGAAGAACAAAAAAACATTTTTGAAACAATGACTTGAAAAAGACTGTGGGTAAAGCCAGAGAGAGGTTGGGAAAACCACAAGAACTGGTATACAGAAATAATTCAGATAAACTGAGTCTTTTAAAAAAAACATTTCTATGTGAGCATCACGGAAGAGCAACCAGTCATCCTTCAAGAACTAATGAGTGTTCACATTAGCCTGCATCACCCTTCCATTAACATCCTTTTTCACGAGCAGGTATGACATTGTCTGATGATTTAGTTAAAACATGACCTATAGGACAGTTTAGAACGAATAATACCCAAGCAATGGTTTTAGGAATGATTATAAGTCGGACTATATAGGTGTCAATGACTCTTGTCAAGTTGCTGTTATAATATGATTGACATATTATAGTTCTATGGAATTTAAAAGAAGTGAAACAGGTGGTAGACAAACTAACAAAGGAGTAGTTCCACAGACTGGTGCCCATGTCCATGGATCCCATGGAGATGTTATGAATGCAATTTTCCAGTGTGACTCTTCTTATTGAGATGATGTCATACAGAAAGAGAATGTGAATGGCCTTCAGAGCTGGAAATATTTATGTAGAATATGTAAGTATGACTTCATTTAGATGGACAACACATCAATAAATTATTCTATAAATAGATAATTTCTAATTCTCAGAGATTTCCATAAATAAACTCAAATGGTTTTTTTAGGGCAGAATGTGGAGAGTTAAAAGAAGTGAGACTACCAAACAGCTAAATGGGAATCTAAAAGAGCCATCATATAAATGGATATCCACCAAAGAAGTGAAAGCAGAAGAGGGCAAAAGGAGAGACTGCTATTTTCTGCCTCCAATCTATATATGGGTCTGCCATATGCAGAGTCATACATTTGGATTGCCTTTAAAAATATAGAAAATTTAGCATCCTTTTAAATATATTTGATATAGGCAGAGTCAATGATCCACACCTTGGCAGTGTCAGGTGGATCTCTCAAAGTTTCAAGGCCAGCCTGATTTATAATGGAGTCCAAAACTAGCTAGAGCTAGCAAGTGATACCTGTTTACAGAAATTGAGTTCAATATCTGACACATGTAAAATTTTTATTTCTCTGACCAAAGAGTCCATTTAGCATCTTCTACAGACATTTGTATTCAGGGGCAGTTACCTAGCTTGAGGAAGAGGAACAAAGCAATCATCTCTGGTAGAGTTAATAAATAAGACAAAAAATTCTAAGAATTAACCAGAAATGTGTTGGCTTCTAGAAGCCCCTGGAAATGTTTTTCAAGTTACCTATGCAAAGCCCTTGCTCTCTGCTACCTTGTACTGTGTATAGAATTCTGTTGCTGAAACACAATTGAATAACTGCATAAAACAGATAGATCTTGTGACTACCCTAACACTGGTTCTCCTTTCTAGCTTTGATGGCATTCAATGTAGGAAGATGCAGATTACTACCTTTCCATCTGATGTGTGTTGTGGGCTGTGAGAAAATTCTGATTTATCCCTGAGACTAATTACAATAGTACAGCAATTTGGCATGTATCCACCATTTTGGTACATGTCCAGTGGTCTGATCTGCATACCCTGCACACCCAGGGACAAAGCAAGTAGGATGTGTGCTATGCAGAGGGCAGAGACTGGCTTCATACATTCTCCTACATGATTATCTTTAAATATATATTAGTAGAAAAGGAAAGGGAACAAACTTAGTTGGCTTGGAACTTCATTTATGTAAACATGATGTGAGCAAAATATGGTGCTTGCATCTAAGAAATCTAGTAAGAATATATTCCAGTGTGAATAATCTTTTTTTGCTTGTCATTTCACAACTAGAGGTGCTTAGGGCTAAACTTCAGCAGGACTTTCATTTCTGATGATGAAGGAATAGGCATCCAAGGAAAGAGGTGATTTATACAGCCTTCTATAGAGTCACAAAATTCAAAAGTAGAAACTAGACAACAGGCAAGGAGGGGGAGAGGGAAATAGATTCTCGATATTTTTCATTCTATTAGATGGTCATTTTTCTTATTAAAGATAGAAAAAAGTATAAAGGTCATGTTTGTTAGAATTCCTATAAAATAAATTCGGTAGCAAAAAGATAATATTCTAAAAAAGGAAGAGGGTATGTCAGAATCTGTAGAAAAATTTAAAGAAATAACATATATTTAGGACAATATTTTATAGCTATGAACTGTGTCACACTCAATCCTTATTTCCTTTTTTAACAAGGTCAGAAATACTATAAACTTGAAACTGTATGATGCCAGTGAGGGCTTCATTATGCACTTCTTTGTCCAGGGCAATCCTGAAAAGTCAATGGTAAGATACATACTAAAAAGGTTGATGGCCTACTGACTGGCAAGTGCATGCTCTGCAAATCAGGTCAGCCCTTCAATGTGAATTGCTCAGTACTTTCCTCTTCAAGGATCATTCTTCTAGCATTACCTAAGGCCTGAAGTGCTTAGTTAGTTCCCCCTTAATTGTTTTCTAAGGTAGTCCAAGAGCAGAAATAAAAATATTGTTATCATAAAATGGTCAAAATTACTCACTAGGAAATTCAAGAAATTTCTTTGGATGAATTGTATGCTTTGCTACCAAAAGAACCCAAAACATGAGATGTTTTATAATCATATTTAGGCACAAAAACAAGTACATGGGGCAGACATGTGTACATGGGTGCAGGTAGACTGGAAAATGTAATGTGCTTCATAAACTAAGGACTCCCTTGAAATCCTCTCATTTACGGTTGACCACTAAGCCCCACAGAACATCCCATCACTTGCTTCTTGGGAAATAGTTCAGTTGTTAGAGTGAAACCATTAGTTGTCTTCTAGAATGTGAATTCTGCTAACCTACACATTTTCCCTTTTGTGGATCTTTCTGAACTTGATGGATAGTGGTAAATCTCCTGGATATTTCTCATTTTTTTTCATGCAGCTCTTTTCCTTATTTTTTTTTTAAGTTTTCTTACTGAGAAACCTGAGTTAAGATTGCTTAAGACATTTCATGGAACCAATTCAGACTTTTATTTAAAAATCTGTTAATGCTGCCACAATCCACACATGTGTATATTCCTTTACGTCAGTATGACAATCTTAAGAATAGCATGGCTAATATGTTCTAGTAAAGTGGAGAAGGCAGTTAGAAAGTTCTAGGAGCAGCTTCATCCTCACAGCAGTTTCAGGACACGATATACATATTTATGCCTCAAAACTGCATAAAAAGAGAAGAACAAAGTACCCGCTCACTATTCAGTAACTCAATATCAGAAGCTACTGAAATTCTATGGAGAGGATAACCAATGAAGTCAGGGAGCTACTTATGGTGTGGACATTAAACTAACATAAGTAATTTTTTCTGGTTGCTTTTTAAATGCCACTAAAACAAGCAAGCTAGAAGGGTCTTCATCTGCCTTAGGTCCCCCTGCTGGATGTTCTTATAGTGTAGACACTCTTTTTGCAGATGCTATGAAGAGCTACCACCCCATGTTCTGTGAAGACCCATAGCTACTATCTACTCAGCTCCCAAGGAAGCCAAGTTTTCCACCCCCTCATGGAGTCAAATTCTTTCAGATATTTAAGTCCTAAATGAAAAATGGCTACATGATTGATACCCTATCAGAGCTCATGCATTAATTAGGCTCATTTCTCTGAGCCATGCCTTAGGAAAGAATTTCTTGGATACTAGTCAAATACCCAACTTAGAAACACACACACACACACACACACACACACACACACACACAAATCAACCAATGTTAGAAGTATTTCTTTGTGGAATGTCTTCCAATCTCCTTCCTCTCTCACAGGTCATCTAAATGAACAAATGTTCATTTTCCTGGGTGAATTTACTTTCTTTCATACCATCCTGCTCTTCTGGGATCCCTGATAAACTCATCACTTAAAGGATGATTTGACACTGTCTTTTTATGTCTCTTTGTCACACGTACCCCTTTCTCCTATAAAGCTACAATGCCTAAAAATATGGAATTGGGCAAGGACAAATGTTAAAGATGAACATCACAGACCTCAAGTCTATTAGAATATGACAAGAAACTAAAGAGTAAATTTTAGAAACACAGAATGTGCATGGGGGAATATGAGTCTCTTCCTTTTATACAATGGTGAAGTCTGTGTATCCAGTGGTCATTTTTACAATGACGATGTCAGTGAACTACAGCACCCAGAGCTACCTGATCTCATGAGCTGAGTCAAGAAGATTAGAGCTCATGTTGGATACATGTCTTTTCCAAAGTCAATGGTAGATGAGAGAATGAGAATGCTTAAATTAAAAGACAGAAAAGAGAAGAGAATTATTCTCTTCTCTTAGAAAGGGAACCTCCACAATAAAAAGGACCAAACAATTCTGTAGTGTCTCATATAAAGTATTCCCGCTTGCACTTGCTGGTTGTGTTTTCCAAGTCAATATTATTTCTAAAGGAAGTCTCCAAGTTTTCTGGGTATTCTTTCTTCGTGTGACTGATATGGTGCGATTGCTTGTGCTGATAGAGGAAGTGAGTCATGATTCCAATGACACAAAAAGTGATAAATGTCACCAATGCTATGACACCTGTAGGGACAAAAGGGAGAAAGAAAAGAAAGCTTGTACTGAGAAAATTTAGTCTTAACAAGGGGATACGTTAGAAGAAAAAAAATTAAACAATTCCAACACACAAATCTACTCATTCTCTGTAGCTAGAAAAAATTACTTTGAGAGAAGCTCTTGCTCTTCAATTTCTACAAAACATCCGACAAACACAGTACTAATAGTAAAAGGTTGTTTTCTCTAGAAGGTTATGTTGACGACCGAAGAATAAATATGGAATTAGAACAATAAATAATTCTGTGGACTCTTAGTTTGGATTTGTTTTTGTTTCTAGGGAGCAAACACAGACTTCACAGATTTCAAATACACCAAGTCTTGCCAGAATTCCTTGGTCTAAAGGCCACCTCCTCTTTCTTTCACTGTCTCTATCTCTCTGTCTCCACCATCACTCTGTCTCCATCCCTTTGTGTTTGTGTGTGTGTGTGTGTGTGTGTGTGTGTCTGTGCGTGTGTGTGTGTACATTCATGGATTCCATACCAGTTGTGTTAATGATAAACAACAACATTCAGGAGTTCTTGCCTTCCACTTGTTTTGAGGCAAGGGATCTCTTGCTCTCTCTTTAATTTTACCACATTGGACTGTATAAAACAGCTTTACTTCAAAATAAATAAACATAACTATCAAGCCAGTCAGCAAAAAAGAACATGTACACAAAATTAATAATAGCAACAAAACACTTATGTTTTCATCATCAAAAATAATTTCATTTCTGTCTATATAAATATATATAGACATGTATATATATTTAAACTATATTTCATATTTTTAAGTTATTTAACTAATGAAAAAGTATTTAGTTTAGAAACTTTTTCCTAGTCATAGTTCAGCTTTACTAAGAATTTCTTAGTCTAAATGTGACTCTTTCTGTGGATACCAGACAGTAAAACATATAGATCTATCTTCTAGCAATTTTTTAACAGTTGTTACAATAACTAAGGACCATTTATGTTTGACATATATTCTAAACTTATTTTGTAACTTAATTTCCAAATATTTTAAAACATAGCAAAATAAAATGTCTAAGTTGACAGTATAATCTGGGTGGGAACAAATGACTCTGAAACAAAAATTGTTGATTTAAAATATGTCAGATATAGCCTATTTTCTGTTGCTGGTTTGAAGGACATACTGCAGGCTATTACTTAGGTATGTTTTCAAGGATCTTCTGTATGGCTTTGATAACCTTTCCACTCTCAAAGAGACTCAACAGAGCTTGCCACTGAATGTAGGAGGCCAAAACTCAGTCTTTGCTTATCAAATGAAACCTTACAGGAACAAAAAGAGTTATAAAATTATCTATGATATTTCCTTATTACAAAGAATATCAAGTCCAATCCTCTTCCCTGGAGAAGCATTAAGTTCACATGACTGTCTTTAGAACTTCTCTAAGGATAGGTCATGTTTCTCTTTCTCTGGGAAAATATTGTGGTAAAATCCATTCATTTTGGGAATGGATTTTTATGCTGCTCCCATTCTCTGCTTTCCTATTGCTTTCTTTGTCTGCTCATTCTAGGAAAGTAGTAACTGTACTTCTCATCTTTTTCCTCTGCACTTAGTACAGATGTGATCCAGAGTTGAAATTAATTAAATGGGGGTAAAATGAATGACTCCTTCTGATTTTTAAAGAACTCTATCTGGTGTGGATTCATTCAACCTGATGCCAGAATGCAGGGATGAGACACTTGCTAAGGTTATAAATCATCAATGGGAATGTATTTTCATATCTCAGACATCTTACATTAAACAAAACTTCAGGCAGTCCATATTGCAAGACCCAGATGGAAACATGAAACTACTTCAGGCATTAGACTAGAAGAGACAGAGAGGAGTGGGGAAGGGTTGGTCAGCAGGTAGCTAAACACCAGTAAAGGAAGGAAAAGTGGTGGTGGAAGTGAGCTACGAGCAGAGTAGGGAACCTCTATATCCACAACCAGATGGACTGCTAGATTTGGCGTTTCAGTCATGTAGGCTTCACCTTGCTCATTAAATCTAGCACAAATCACTAGTAAAGAAAAACTTAAATGACTGCAACTGTGTCCATTTGTCTCCCCAATGAGACTTCTTTCCACACATGATGCTATTGTTCTGTTTTGTTTGTGCTTGAGAAGTGACAACTGGACACAATGAACAAGAGCCAGGCTGCCTGCCTGTGAGTAAATGTGCTAGCTATTGGTACAGAACTCAACTGCCTGTTGAATTTGAGGTAGAATTAACCCAAAGAGCTGCTGCTGACACTGGAGAATGGTCTTCCATTAATCTTACACCATGCATGAAGTGACTAAGGGATAGACAGAGAGTGACTGATTCTGGGTTCTGGATGATCATCACAAAGGAAGGCTTAAGATAACTTTCTACAGAGAACAGAGTCATAAATATCTTTTGTGCTTTCAGTAATGAAGACAGATTACCTCCAATGACTGCAGAGTCACTTTGTACTGCATTTGTGAGTGGATCACGCTCATCTCTCTTTCCAAAGGGATCTTGAGAAAGGAAAAGACACAAAAAGTAAACTTCACCCTTCAGTCAACCACAGAAAGAAAATATACAATGTACATATCTGAAGTTTATCAAGATTTCTTCAGTGAGATATAAACTAGCATTTGAAAGAAACTTAAATAAGTGGCATTTAAGACTTTGGACTCTGACTCGCCACCTAGTCCAATGATACCCAGATGAAGCTTCACTTTCAGGTGCTCCAACATACCCACAATCAGAGGTGAGGAGGCCACAACATCTGCCCCAACACTGGAAGAAACTGAGAATCATGGGGTACAGGGACACAAGAACCCCTGCCTGGCCAGTGGCACAGGTTCCTTCCTGTCTGAGCCTGTTCCCTGATCAGATCATGGCCACTGGCTCCACACATTGTCCCAAAACCCAGAGGAAGCTTGACTCCCAGGGACTCTGACACAACAGGATCTCAGGAGCTTGGTCACACCAGGATTTTAGGATCCCATAGGCAGAATGACTTCCAGGAGCTCTGAGACATCCATAATACCAGGAACATAGGATCCAAGAAAAACAGGAACACAGAGACAACCGGACTCTGAGGGATTCTTACATAACCAGGATCACAAGATGGACAGGCTCCAGTCAAAGTCAGGAGTTTCAGGTAGCAACAGAGACAACAGATGGAGAAAGGCAAGTGTAAGAAAATAAGCAACAAAAACCAAGTCTACTTGGCATCATCAGAACCCAGTTTTCCCTCTGCAGAAACTCTTGGATAGTCCATTACACTGAAAAATCAAAATTAAGATTTAAAGTCATTTCTCATGATAGCGATAGAGGACTTTAAGAAGGACATAAATAATTCCCTTAAAGAAATACAGGAGAGCACACATAAACAAGTAGAACCTCTTAAAGAGGAAACACAAAAATCCATTAAAGAATAACAGGAAAACACAACCAAACAAGTGAAGGAATTGAACAAAATTATCAAGGATCTAAAAATGGTAATCACAACAATAAAGAAATCACAAAAGGAGACATCCCTGGAATTAATAAACCTAGGAAATAGATCAGTCATGGATGTAAGCATCACCAACAGAATAAAAGAGATAGAAGAGGGAATCTCTGGTTCAGAAGCTACCATAGAAAACATTTATAAAATAGTCAAAGGAAGTGCAAAATAGAAAAAGTTCCTAACTCAAAACATCAAGGAAATCTAGGACATTATGAGAAGATAAACCCTAAGTATAATAGGTATAGAAGACAGTGAAGATTCCCAACTTAAAGGCCCAGTAAATACTTTCAACAAAATCATAGAAGAAAACTTCCCTAAAGTAAAGAAAGAGATTCTCATGGATATACGAAAAGCCTATAAAACTACAGAGATTGAACCAGAAAAGAAATTTTTGCTCTCACATAATTATCAAAACACCAAATGCAAGAGAGAGAGAGAGAGAGAGAGAGAGAGAGAGAGAGAGAGAGAAAGAGAGAGAGACAGAGAGACAGAGACAGAGACAGAGAGAGAGAGAGAGAGACAGAGAGAGACAGAGAGAGAGAGAGAGAGAATACTAAAAGAATTAAGGGAAAATGGTCAAGTAACATATAAAGGCAGACCTGTCAGAATTACAGCAGACTTCTCACCAGAGACTCAAAAAGCCAGAAAATCCAGTGAAGATATCATACAGACCCTAAAAGAACACAAATCCCAACCCAGACCACTATACCCAGCAACTCTCAATTACCATAGATGGAGAAACCAAGATATCCCATGACAAAACCAAATTTACACAATATCTTTCACAAATCCATCCCACATAGGATGACAGATGGAAAACTCCAACACATGGAAGAAAACTACACCCTAGAAAAAGGAAGAGAGTAATCTTCATTCAACAAACCCAAAGGAAAATAGCTACACAAACATAGTTCCACCTCTAAGAAGAAAAAAAAAACAGGAAGCAACAATCATTTTTCTTAATATCTATTAATATCAATGGACTCAATTCAACAATAAAAAGATGTAGACTAACAGACTGTCTACGTAAACACAACCCAGCATTTTGCTGCATGCAGGAAACATACATTAGTTACAAAGACAGAAACTACCTCACAGTGAAAGACTGGAAAAATTTTTCCAAAAAAATGGTCCCAAAAAACAAGCTTGAGTAGCCATTCTAATATGAAATAAAATCGACTTTCAACCAAAGGTTATCAAATAAGATAAGAAAGAATAATTTGTACTTATCAAGGGGAAAAACTACCAAGATAAACTCTCAATTCTGAACGTCTTTTAGCCAAATACAAGGGCAACCACATTCATAAAAGAAACTTTACTAAAGCTAGAAGCACCCATTGCAACTCACAATAATAGTGGGGGACTTCAAAACTCCTCTCATCAGTGGACAGATCATAGAAACAGAATGTAAACAGATACATAGTGAAACTAAAAGAAGTTATAAACCAAATAAATTTAACAGATATCTATAGAACATTTAATCCTAAAATAAAAGAATAAAATTTTTTCTCAGCACCTCATGATAACTTCTCAAAAATTTGCCATAAAATCAATCACGAAACAGATACAAGAAGGTTAAAATAATCCCATGCATCCTACCAGATCACCATGGACTAAGGCTGGTCTTCAACAACAAGAAAAACAATAGAAAAGCCACATACACATGGAAGCTGAACAATTCTCTACAATTATAACTTGTCAAGGAAGAAATAAAAAAAGAAATTAAAGACTTTTTAAAATATAATGAAAATAAAGGCATAACATACCAAAACTTATGGGACACAATGAAAGTAGTGATAAGAGGAAATCTCATAAGTCTAAGTGCCTCCAGCAACAAAATGGAGAGAGCACACTCTAGATGCTTTACAGGACACCTGAAAGCTCTAGAACAAAAAGAAGCAAATTCACTCAAAAGCAGTATATGGCAGGAAATAATCATACTCAGGGCTGAAGTCAACAAAGTAGAAATAAAAAGAACTATACAGAGAATCAACAAAAACAAGGATCTTGTTCTTTGAGAAAATCAAAAATATAGGTAAACCCTTAGCCAGATTAACCAGAGGGCAGAGGGTCAGTATCTAAATTACAAAATAAGAAACGGCAAGAGAGATATAACAAGAGAAACTGAGGAAATTCAGAAAACCATCAAATCCAACTATAAAAGTCTATATTCATCAAAACTGGAAAATCTGGATGAAATGGACAATTTTCTAGACAAATACCATGTACTAAAGTTAAATCAAGAACAGAAAAATCATCTAAAGAGTCTCATAACTACTAAAGAAATAGAAGTCATTAAAAGTCTCCCAACCAAAAAAAAAAAAAAAAAAAAAAAAGCTGGGTTTAAAAAAACAGATAGGTCTAATGCAGAATTCCATAAGAACTTCAAAGAAGATATAACACCAATACTTTTCAAATTATTCTACAAAATAGAAACAGAAGGAGCAATACCCAAATCATTCTATGAAGCCACAACTATGCTTTTACCTAAACAAAGACCCAACAAAGAAAGAGAACTTCAGACCTATTTCCATTATGAATATTGATGGAAAAGCACTCAATAAAATTTTTGGAAACTGAATCCAAGAATTCATGAAAATGCTCATCCATCATGATCAAGTAGGTTTCATCCCAGGGATGCAGGGATGGTTCAATATATGGAAATTAGTCAATATACAATATAAACATATTCAAAAAAAAAACACCTGATCATCATAATCTATTTAAAGTGATCAACATAGGCATGGGTATAAGGAAGAGTAATGCAAGATGCCTATAAGCGTTTAAGGACCAAATTTTCCTCTATTTGTTGTGCTTGATATCAGATAGGAGTGGACAGGATTATGGTTGAGTAGAAAATTCAATAAAGTTCACCACTGCTCTAAGAATAGAAAACATATTCCTGGAGCCAGATAGCCTTCCTCTAAGACCAATATGCTGTTTAAGTAATTATTTTGGTTCACCATTAAGTTCAAATTTGTGGCCTGTGAATAACCTCTAGCTGATAATAGTGGGAGCCATATATATAAACTAGGCTCATAATTACGGAGATACAACTAGCCTGAGTAACATTAAAAAGCAGAGGATAAAATAAGACAGGTGGTTAAGTAAGATCTCAATTAACCCAACCTAATGACCAATGTTTAATAATTTGAAAGTATTCCTCATCCCTTTATGGTAAAAGTCATGGAAAGATCAACAATGTAGGGCTTATACCTAAACAGAGTAAAAGCAATATATAGCAAACCAGTAGCCAACATCAAACTAAATGGAGAGCAACTTGAAGCAATCTCACTAAGGTCAGGGACTAGACAAGGCTGCCCACTCTCTTCCTACCTATTCAATATAGTACTGAAAGTCCTAGCCAGAGCAATTAGACAACAAAAAGAAGTCAAAGGGATACAATTAGGAAAGGAAGAAGTCAAAATATCTCTATTTGCAGATGATATGATAGTATACTTAAGTGACCCCAGAACTTCTACCAGAAAACTCCTAAACCTGATAAACAGCTTCAGCAAAGTGGCTAGTTATAAAATCAACTCAAACAAATCAGTAGCCTTCCACTATGTGAAAGATAAACAGGCTGAAAAAAAATTAGGGAAATGACACTCTTCACAATAGTCACAAATAATATAAAATCCCTTTGTCTGAATCTAACCAAGCAAGTGAAAGATCTTTATGACAAGAATTTCAAGTCTCAAGCTCTAACCCAGGCAGCATCTTAGGCAAGGAAACAGCAACACCTGCCCCAAACAGGGAGTAACTGGGACCCACTAGTGCCCAAGAATTCACTCCTGGCCCGGGGCACTGGTTCCTTCCTGTCTGGGGCGAGCACTGAGCAGATCTTGGGCCCCAGCTCTAACCCTAGTAGTAACACTCACTCCACACAGTTCTGAAACAACCAAGATAATGGAAAAGACAGTCTCCAGTAAGAAACAGGACAGGTAGCACTAAGGTGATCCAGATGGCAAAAGTCAAGCACAAGAACATAAGCATCAGCAACCCAGGGTACTTGGC